TCAGTGTACCATTTTAAGGGTCAAAAAATTTTTCCGGACATACCAAAAGCCAGATATTAACTAAAAATTGCCTGAATCTCATGATTTTCGTACAAAAAACATATACTATTATTTAATTCGATAATTTGGCAGTCATCATTCAATTTCAATTAAATCATTCTCTTGTGTTAATTAACAACTTATCAAAGCAAATTTTATCACTGCACATTTTACATTTTATCACTGCACATTTTACTTTTATCACTGCACAAATTGGTTATCACTGCACACTAACATTAGGTATGAGTCCTGATAGCTTTATATCTTTCACGTCGTGAAGTTAATTCTAAATAGAGCTATATAGAAAGCTGAATATTTTGCTTTAAAAGTCAACACGAAGGTGAAACACCTGCTTAGGGATATTCGTTTAAGAATCTATACAGTTGAAACTGGGATATAGTTTAAAGGCTTTATGGTCGTTTCGTACCCTTGCCGTTTCGTCCCCTTTGCCGTTTCGTCCCCTTCACGTTTCGTCCCCACATAGATATACCGTTTCATCTATAACCTACTTCCTTAATACTCATATCATGATCTTACTTTTTGAGATTGTATCTCAGTGGATTGTATGCCTGGATAATACACATTTTTGTATTTAAATTCCGAAACCTTTGAAATGTAACTTAAATATTTGGCTGTAACTTTAAATATGGTAAAAAGGAAAGGTAAGAAAAACAGCTGAACAAAGTTGAAACAAATACAAATATATCTTATGTATATATAGTTCATGAGAAACTAAGATAAAATAGTTTATAGATAAAATGGTACCTAGTGTGGGGACGAAACGTAAAGAGGACGAAACAGCAAGGAGACGAAACGACTGGGGACGAAACGGCAAGGGGAGGAAACGAACTGGTCATACCTCTTTCAAAGGCGTAATAAGGACCATTAGCTGGGCGGCGCTCATTTTCTTCGCAACCAATTCAAAACATTCAAAACTCTTCGTACTTCGAGCTTCGGGCAATTTTGTTGAGATTTTATCTACCTCCCGTTCGCGAGCAGGCTCCCCAAAAATATCTTGGGTTAAAACCTTAAAATAAAAAAATACAGTTAGCTGGTTAATTAATATTTACGTTGCTCCAATGACACGAAAAACTTAGGCTACGTTTAAACTTTTCCGGATAGGCGGGTTAGCTTTCCGTAGCGGCGTGAAAAAGCACCTATCCTATACGGAATACTTTCAAAGCTGAGCGAAACAAGATCTTTCCGTTGCAATAATTCCTCTGAATTCTGAAAATATAGCGTTCCTAAAAGGTGCGGATAGTTGTTTTTTACGTCGGAATGCTATCTCGGATACAAGTGTAAACGTAGCTTTAGTTTAATGTTGTATTCAGAATAACAACGCTGTTGAGGATACCACCCCTGGTACCACAGATTATTCAAACTTTTTTGTTTTTTATGAAGAATTTCTTTGTTTCGAAGGCGGCGTCTTTCAGTTTGTATCGGTGTTTTCTAAATCGATCTATCGAGCACGCATTTCAGCCAATCACAAACGTCTTTATATATGACGTACACATTATAATGAACATCGTACCTCTATTATGCTTTGAACAGACACGTCCAGTCCGCCATCAGGAATATTTTCTTCAAATTTGTTCAAAATGTAATACAACGTCGCGCCCAGAACGTGAAGCTAAAATGAAAAATAAAACAAATTAAACGTGGAAAGACAGGAAAGCGTAACACTTGTTGTATATATATTTAAAAAACTCATTAATAATTCAGGAACAAAACACAAAGAAAAATCATAAGCGTGTCGTGGTTTTATATGTGATAAAAAATTACGTTAATTTACATAAACTTTAGCTTTGATTTTTTCGGTTTAGACAAAGTTTATTTTAAAAATTACTTCGCCAATGAACTCGTATAAAATGAGTCGTTTTTTAAGCTATTTAAAGCACTTGTAGTCGTGTTTTATCACATATAAAACACTCCGCTACGCGTCGTGTTTTATATGTGATAAAACACTCCTACGCGTGCTTTAAATAGTACATATATATATATATATATTATAAAATATACACCTTTGCTTTTTTGGGGCAAGATGTTTACATCATGAAATTATATCATCTCTGTATATATATATATATATATATATATATATATATATATATATATATATATATATATATATATATATATATATATATATATATATATATATATAGTGTTTGGAACATTTTCTTTTCACCTGAACCTCTAGGTTAGAACTGATAGAACTATTTAGTATAAATAAAGTTAGTTTAGATTAGGTGTCCTCCATCTCTATATAGGCAGAACAGTTTAGAACTAGTGATAGAGCTATTCAGTATTAATAAAGTTAGTTCAGTTTAGTTTTCCTCCCTTACTAACACTAGATCAATAAAGGATGACTCTTATACTGGACCTCTAGGAAGAACAGTTTAGAACTGATAGAGCTATCCAGTATAGATAAAGTTAGTTTAGGTTTCCTCCTGTAGTAACACTGGATCAATAAGAGATGATTTTCACTGGACCTCTAGGAAGAACAGTTTAGAACTGATAGAGCTATCCAGTATAGATAAAGTTAGTTTAGGTTTCCTCCTGTAGTAACACTGGATCAATAAGAGATGATTTTCACTGGACCTCTAGGAAGAACAGTTTAGAACTGATAGAGCTATCCAGTATAGATAAAGTTAGTTTAGGTTTCCTCCTGTAGTAACACTGGATCAATAAGAGATGATTTTCACTGGACCTCTAGGAAGAACAGTTTAGAACTGATAGAGCTATCCAGTATAGATAAAGTTAGTTTAGGTTTCCTCCTGTAGTAACACTGGATCAATAAGAGATGATTTTCACTGGACCTCTAGGAAGAACAGTTTAGAACTGATAGAGCTATCCAGTATAGATAAAGTTAGTTTAGGTTTCCTCCTGTAGTAACACTGGATCAATAAGAGATGATTTTCACTGGACCTCTAGGAAGAACAGTTTAGAACTGATAGAGCTATCCAGTATAGATAAAGTTAGTTTAGGTTTCCTCCTGTAGTAACACTGGATCAATAAGAGATGATTTTCACTGGACCTCTAGGAAGAACAGTTTAGAACTGATAGAGCTATCCAGTATAGATAAAGTTAGTTTAGTTTAGGTTTCCTTCTCTAGTAACACTGGATCAATAAGAGACGATCTCCACTGGACCTCTAGGAAGAACAGTTTAGAACTGATAGAGCTATCCATGCAGTATAGATAAAGTTAGTTCAGGTTTCCTCCTGTAGTAACACTGGATCAATAAGAGATGACTCTTATATACTGGACCTATAGGAAGCTATTCAGTATAAATAAAGCTATTCAAGCCTTTATATTATAACAAGCACTAAAAGCTGGATGTGCATGTGAAAATATTAATTTGCTAAGCTCCGTCACTACTCCATATAATAAAAATAAACAAACCTGATAGCCTTTTATCAGTGAACTCCGTAATTCGGTAAGTATGAAAGGAAAGTAGCAAATGCCGAGAGAATTCGTTATTTTCGACAGAGTGTCTCTGGCCGTTTCACGAACGTCAAACGCACGACTTTTTAATGCTTGGCAAACACGAATGAGTAAACTAGAAAACGAAAAAATATAAATGGCTGTTCAACAGAGGTTAATTAGCCATTCCGAAATTGATGAGTGGACTGGGGACGACTGTTAAACTGGTGCCCGAATTAAGAAATGAACTAAATCACTAAAAAGACCACCTCAGAATTAGTAAGTATACAAAGTTTGAAGACATGCATTTACACGAATACCCTTCGAATAATAAGCTATCAAAAATCGTGATATTTCAGTACTATGAAATGTACTGTAATGTACCATTGACAATCTTTGTCCCAAAAACAATCTTTTAATCAGTAATTTCACAATTTTCGAAAGCTTATTATTCGAAGGGTATTCATGTAAACGTCTTCAAACTTTGTATACTTACTAATTTTGAGGTGGTCTTTTTAGTGATTTGGTTCATTTCTTAATTTGGGCACTTTTTAACACTCATCCCCAGCCCTCTCATCAACTTCGGAATGGCTAATTTGAGCGTGTCAGATCAATAATTTACGTGAATTCAGTTCAGGAGTTCAGTCCTTATTCCAATCTTTGCGGAAATATCAGTTTACATGAAACATACACTCTTTGCCTCAAGGTTTTCACGGTCAAGAGACTTTGATAGTTTTTTTTTTAATTTTTAATTTCCCCATGTATAAAAAAAGATACTTAAAATGTATTACAATAATTTCAAAAATTTTGGGCTAATTCAATCAATACAATATGTAAAATCAGAAAGTTTTGAAGAAAACTATATTTACAAGAGAGAAAAAGAAGGGGGAATGTTAGCCTGCGAATACAGACGCCTCACATCGGCCAATGTGAGGCGTCTGTATTCGCAGGCTAGGGGAATGTTCGTATTATACAAATTAATACTAATGTTGTAGATGCATTTGAATTTTTACAATGTTTGGGCTGCAGTATAATAAAATTATATGTCATTAGTATATACAAAATTATAGAGAAGTATGTTTTGTCGCATGTCTTATATATTGGTAATTGTGTATAGCAAAAAACGGCATGGTCTACTTTCCAGATCCTGTGAAGATATAAGAAACCAGTGGCTGAATAGTGCTATAGGAAAATTACACAACACAAAATCACAAGCGACTGTGGAAGGTCTAAATATCAATTCCTACCGGGTGGCCCAAAAAAAAGTACTCCTGTTTGATTCGTAATAACATCTAAACAAGTATAGCTTTTAAAGAGAAATAACTTGCATCAAATAGAGGAAGGACTAACTTAGACTTTGATATATTACAGTTGTATTTCACTTAAAAATTCACGGAGATATTAATCTTTAAATTCGGGAGGATATTTCTGGATGTGTCTGAAATATGCAAAAATCGGCGTATCAAATATTAATCAAGATTTGCCCGACTGAAACATGCACTATTACCAGTAAATAAATGACACTTGACAAATTGTTTATTATGAAACAAAGTATTATTATATCTATTAATCCTGCTCTAATCGAGAAATAATCAACTTTGTTTTGAACCCATGAAAAACATAAAAAAATAGGTTATTTAAGAAAAATTGAAGCGCCTGCCTTGCATGGTCTTTCAGTACCTTAAGTTTGCAAAGACCTATTAAATACTTACATAATTTCGAACGTTCATATTTCAGGAAACAATAAGTTAAGAGTTACATGTAAGATGTCTAAATCTACGCCATATCCCTTACAAACCCTAACGACAATTCGCTGAAATACAATTTACCCTGATATGTCATTAAGCAAACAAACGCTGGAGTGAAATTTGATACGCCGATTTTCGCTAATTTTAGACACATCCCAAAATATGCTCCCGATTTTGAACATTAATATCTCCGTGAATTTTTAAGTAAAATACAACTGTAACATATCAAAATCTAAGTTAGTCCTTCCTCTATTTAATGCAAGTTATTTCTGTTTGATAGCTTTACTTGTTTAGAAGTTATTATAAATCAAACAGGAGTACTTTTTTTTGGGCCACCCGGTATTTACAGGAATTCGAGGCATGGTCGACTTAGATCCTGTGATAAATGTGCATCATCAAATCACACCTATCAATTACTAATAACTTTGCATACTTCAATTACGATATTACGCTTCAAATACGACATTTCTCCAATGGATTTACACACAAACGACACAAAAAAATACACCCACTAGATGCGTGCACCTAATATACAATATTTCACGATGCGGTCTACTTTCCAGACCCTGTGAAGAAATCCATTAATTAAATATAATGCTTATAAGAAATTCACAAACAATGAAGTCCCAGACGCATGTTGAGGTCCTATTACCTATCCTCAAATTATAATATTGAAAGAGCTAGGACACACTGTCGTTACAAATTTTATATTAATACTAATTTCCTCGCACAGAAAACTAAATTCTATCCTATAATTCAATCGGTTATTTCATTAGTGAAATTTACGTATTGGAAAAAAGTCTTAACTTATTTAAGTACTCCATATACGAGAGAATCTTAAAACCTCTTAATCTTAATCTTTCTATATTTTACGGAAATATTTAGTTACAAACACATACACTCTTTACCCGTGCGCCCAAACAGACGACATGGAAAGCTTTGTTTTTCTACAATTCGCGTTAATTTTTGCGCACGTAATTGGGGGCTACAACACCTGCGAGTCCGACGTCGACTGTCGCAAAACAGGCCAAAACGTGACTCACTGTTGTCGGGCTTTTGACGCAAACAGCAGTCTGGCTTGTCGTAATGCATCGTCGTGCGATGGGCGCCATTGCGAAGTTGATAATGAATGTGCTGGCCTGTGTTGCATTTTGAAGAACTGCACAAAGTGTCCTAAGTGTCGTTCTGATGACGAATGTCACAACGAGGTTTGTTGCGAACAGGGTGAATGCCGAAGTACTTGTCTTGGTTCCTCATGTGCTATTGATGAAGAATGTCCTGCTATGGAATGTTGCAAATTTGGAAACTGCATAGTCGGTGGCTGCCCTTTTGACAATGTTGTTCTCGGACTGGTATGCACAGCCGTGGGCGCGTTATTTATATTTTTCGTGGTTATCGTGGTTTATGTTCTGTTCAAATTTAAACGGGTCTCCAAGCGACGGCGAACTGTTACTCCGGTAAATTTGGAAATGAATCAAACGGTGTTAACTATGCCTACTACTTATCGATGTACTAACACTCTTACAACTTCAGTGTCCCAGAAAGAATAATCATTACTTGTCTAAATTTTGGGTTGTGGATCAGGAAATGCCACCTGTGAAACAAGCTGTCAACAACCTCTGCCCATGAATCATTATCGGACTTGCTATACGAAGGTTGTTCTAATAGGTGTGATTCAGTCATGATATAACAAGTATGTTACAAGGTTGACGACGCAATTAGGTTGTAACAATATTGTTATATCGTGCACGATTGTATCGGACTTGTTGGAACAACCTTGCCTAATAATATCAACAAGGTTGTTAAAACTGTTAACAAGTTGTTCCATACTTGTTGACAACTTGGGACAAGCAGTGCAAACACAACTTGTTGACGGCTTGTTGGCAGACTTGCTACAAGATGTGACATTTTTGATTTTGAAAAATACCTTTTGCATGGAGATCCGCAAGGTTAAAACGTTACATGTAAACATCGACAAGCTATTAAAAATAGAATTTCAGCACATAGGTTACCAGTCGATGATTCTTACTGTGATAGAGTATGTAAACATTGTGATCTGAGAACAACATTGTACCTAATGTCATGCATGCAGAAATGCAATGGTCATACTCTCTAAGGAATAATTTAATTGAGAGCTTGTATAAAATTAATAAATCATTTATGTTATTCAATTTACAAGACCTGCATATTTCATTATGCTATATCGCTAAGCGAAAATTTCTTCAAAATATTGTTACGACATATTAGCAACTTTAAATTTTGATCTACTACAATCATACAATTATATATATATATATTTATGTAATATAGCGTACATTAGGTACATATCTTATCTTGTAATTTGTTTATATTCTTTGTACCTCTTTTGGAACGTTTGGGATAAATTATTATAACTAGCGATGCGCGCAAGTTGTAAACGACCTCTTTTAGACCTTTTAGACTTTTGATCTCAGATTTTGCGATTTTCAACATCTTTATGTAAGGAAGGTTTACTAAGGAAGTGCATAAACTATGTTCGCAAATTCTAGACATGAGCAACTGTCGTGAAAATATAGTCAAGGAAACCGTGCAACTGGTCATGAATATATCGTCTGTATATAGTTTCATTTGTTCATACAAAACAAATGCCAACATTTTTGTATTTAATTTAAATTGGATTTTGGCATTCCAATTGCGCAAATGTCAAAATCATAGAAAAATAGCCCTTGGGTAATATAATATTAAAACCTTCCACGAAAAATCCTCATATCGTTGGTTTACAGATTTCCAAGTTCTGAATGGTTCGCGCGCAATCTGGGGTTTTCCTCTGAAATAAATGCTATAGATTTGAACATAATTTTTCGTTTTATGCCAACTTATTTTCAGTAGTCATTTTGATGAGGACGTCATTAGCTATCGCATGGTGCGCGTTGCATGGCAACGCAGTAAATACTTCCTGAGATTATCCCAATTAGCATGGACTCAGGAGGTATTTTTACCTGCGCAATGATACACATACACTATTCAGCTCACACTTATATTACGTACTTAGCCTAGACTATATTTATCTTCACAACAATCATGATATCAATTTCCTAACTATATCTTTATCCACAGTGTTTATCCTAACCCACCCTGTCAACTTTCCCTGTGGAAGGAAACCGCTCCGCCCGGAGAAAACCTCACGATTTTCGGTATACAGTGTGTATCAAAAAAAGCGCAATGCTCGACTGAAATGTAAATTGCTAAACAAATAATAGACGAAAACGTTAAAGTTTACATTCATTTTAAAGCGTAGCCATTCAGCTTTCTAACAGTGGGTTGTTTCTTAAATTTGACTCATTGGTTCGCGGGTAATAATACTTTACGTTATTGCGATTGGAGATTAAAAAAATTGAGATGGAATAACAAATCGTTCTCATGAAAATAACTGATTTTTTCATTAAAACAAAAAATGTTGCATTTTATTAAATGGATTGTAACAATAAGTATAATTACGGCTTTTCTTCCACTATTTTTAACTCAGTTTGAAACTTCGAATGCGATATAATTTTGGCTTGGACCATCTAAGCTGACTGACATCTACTTGCTATAATTTCTGTTTACATTACATCGCAATTCGATGACACTCTGGCTCAGACACCAGAATGTTTTGACGATTTTTAGCATTCGTTTAGGATTTTCAAACAACCTGGTCTCTTTTAAAATACTTTTAATTTGTTCTTACGTGGTTTTCCAGATGTAGTGACGACAACATTAAAGTTTAAAGAAGAAAATTCTAACATTTAAACCGACTAAACAATAACATAGTAAACTTGCATAATTAAACAGCAACTAAAAATGATAGGTTTTACTAAATCTTTTCCTGTGCAATTATTACTAGCATTGGAGACAAGGATAATAGTTTGTTTGAAAGAGAAAAGAACAGGCTTTGAAGTAAGCCTAAAAGCGTTTAACTAGAAATAGTATTTCGAAAGTGATTAAGCACAAAAGATGAATTGCGTTTATTTTGATACACCCTGTGGAGCCTTGACTGACTCTTTTAGTCTTTTCACATGAGTCCGTATGCGCAATGATACACATACACTATTCAGCTCACACTTATATTACGTACTTAGCCTAGACTATATTTATCTTCACAACAATCATGATATTAATTTCCTAACTATATCTTTATCCACAGTGTTTATCCTAACCCACCCTGTCAACTTTCCCTGTGGAAGGAAACCGGAGCGCCCGGAGAAAACCCACGACTTTCGGCAGAGCGTCGACTGACTCTTTTCACATTTTATTTATTTTATTTTATTTTACAAGTTTGCCATTGCAATAGATCTATATAGAGTCCTATGGTTACAAATGACTGGAATTTCCACACAGAGATAGTTCTCCAATAACGGGGTTCCAAAAAAGAACAACTAATGGTATATCTAATTATTTTGAAGTTAAGGCAAACATAACAATTAAACACAAATACAAGAAGACAAAGCAAACGTATTGACGAACAAACGAACAAAAACTAAATTTAGCAACATGTTCGAGTTGATAAGTTCATTAGTGGGCGAGTGGTGTGACATTTAATACACACAGACTTAAATATTCTTGGATCTTCAGGGTCATAAATTTGTTGGGTTAATTCTACGTAGTATTTCATTAGATTACATTTAAATGTAGTTAGAGATGTGGTGGTATTTCTTATGAAGCCGGGAAGCGTGTTCCATACATTAGCAGCTCTGATGTAAAACACGAGTCCGTAGCGAGAATCAAACCCACAATCTTAGAGGTGAAAGGTGCATGCTCTGGCGAAGTGCATGCATGTAATCCCTAATAAAAACAGTGAACTCATTTTTAACGGACAGCAAGGGAAACTAAATTGGTTTGAGGCAACTGAGTTCGAGACGACTGAGTAAAAATGATTGGTTCTTCCCGCTCATATATCAGCGAATGTACTTCAGTATCTCTATTTCTTCTTTCAAAAACAATCAGTGTTAGTTCTCACTACCTTACCAAACTTGAATCTACCTTTGACGTCAATCAAATGCGCACTTGAAAGACTTATTGTTCCAAGGGTTCTTCCCACAATCCAACTTGCTGTTCGTAAAAGTTCATTTCATGCATTTTTAATCTTAATATTTGTTCACGTATATCAGTGTGTTAATGTGTGTTTGTGTCCCTAAATATATTATAACTATTGTTGTCTGTCTATAATCGTGTCCTGTTGACTATTCCTTCAACCTTATTCCTTTCCTTCATATATATGCCGTGTATATTCTGAAATTTAATATCTAGTATTTGTTCATGCATAAAAGGTTATAAAGTTAATAAATAAATAGATTGAAAGAGTATAATAATATAATAATAGTATTTTGAGAGGGTATTTATACATTATTAGAATGTTAGGGTTTGTAATCCAAGTGAGAATATATACATTTTAAGACCTGACCACTGACCAGGAACGACTGCGAAAAATGCAGCACAAGGTCCTCTCGCAGGGCCGTATAGCCGTAGGTTCAATTCCTACCAGAGGACCTTGTGCTGCATTTTTCGCAGTCGTTCCTGGTTAGGTCTTAAAATGTATATATTCTCACTTGGATTACAAACCCTAACATTCTAATATTAATTCCACCAAGTGAAGTGCAAGAATCCAAATCATTGAAGTTCTATTTACACATTAGTTACAGTAATGTAGACTACAGAGTACTGCATTCTAGCTAATGGTCCTCTAATCAATTATAACATAGACAATAGAATAAGAAAGTTAGGGAACTCGATGCAGACATCAGATACTATTAGACCTCATGCATTATCTATGTTTTGTCTTGTCTTGCAAGAAATGGTCGGTTTTGCCCAACCAACCATGCAATAGCAGTCTGTTGGTTTAATTGCCCAGTCGTCATCGATATTACACAGTTTAAATGAAAACATATAGCTATTGGTGGCTCTGGCGAAAATACAATATACACGTGACGATGAACTGACCATTTCTTGCATAATCTAAGACAAAAACATAGATAAAGTCAGAAGTCTATTATGTCTGCATTGAGTTTCCTAACCTTTTTATTCTGTTGACTATGATTATAAGAATGCTTGAATCAGTTTACGACGGGATACGTGATGCCGCAGTTAACTACTATATGCTTACAGTTATGCATGCATGCCAGCATGGTCAATATTTATTACTTAAGTCAACAAAGAATTTTTAACATTTATTTTTAAACGAAGTTAAGGAAAAATTTGTAATATCTTTCAATTTGACCGGTAATGAGCTGAAGAGACAAGCTCCATTTTAAGATAATTTGGCCTTTACCATTTCAACCACTATACTGGATACCCAGTTAACTACTATATACTTACAGTTAATTTGGCCTAACTACTATAATTACTAACTTAACTACTACTTAATTTTATAACTACTACTTAATAATATATAGTTTTATAGTATTTTTTTATAGTTTTATAGTTTTATAGTTTTATAGTAGTTATATAGTTTTATAACTACTACTTAATTTTAACTACTATATGCTTACAGTTAATTTGGCCTTTGCCATTTCAACTACTATACTGGATACGCAGTTAACTACTATATGCTTACAGTTATGCATGATCAATATTTATTACTTAAGTCAACAAAGAATTTTTAACATTTATTTTTAAAGGAAGTTAAGGAAAAATTTGTTATAATATCTTTCAATTCGACCGGTAATGAGCTGAAGAGCCAAGCTCCATTTTAAGATAATTTGGCCTTTGCCATTTCAACCACAGGAAATGAGTTCAATCGCTACCGACACATCATCGTCAGATGGATGGATTCTATGAATTCAGTTGACGATTCCAGAACTTATTCTACATTTGACGGAAATAATTGGTTACGAGCAAAATCTGCTCTTTACCAATTTCGTATTTACACTGACCATCGTGCGCCTATACCAATGATATGGGAAGGTGGGTCATTCTACATTTCGCGTTAATTTTCGGGTACGTTACGACGGGGTACCATGGTTGCAAGTCAGACATGGATTGTCCGAAAACAACACTGTACGCGACTCACTGTTGTCGGGACTTCACTAAGAACAGCAATCTCAGTTGCCATGTTTCGCCGTGTGTCGGACATTTTTGCGAAGCCGATAACGAATGCGGAGGACTATGTTGTACTTTAAACGAATGTACGAAATGTGCCAAGTGTGTCTCCAGTAGCGATTGTGGTAGGGGACAGTTTTGCTGCGGCAAGAAAACGAAGCAACAGGGTCAATGTCGCAGTAATTGTCTTGGCTTTTTGTGTCGTGTTGACGAACAATGTTCCAGCCCAGGGCTATGTTGTATTTCTAAAACATGTGCGCAAACTGGATGCGAAGACGCACATTCTAACATCATCGTCGGCGTGTTTGCGAGCACCCTAGCAGGATGTGTTATGTCGTTCGTGCTTGTCTTCGTTATCATATTCAAAATGAAAAAGAAGTCCAGACGACGTCTGGCGGTCGTTCCGATAAGTTTGGAAATGAACGCGACGTCGACAGTGTTAACCATGCCAACGACATACCCGTGTACCAACAGTTCCAATCGTAAAAATCGCACCACTTCGTCGTCTCAGAAAGAATAATTATTACACTGCAAAAAAATCCCTGAGGATATTGATTCAATAAATTGTGAGTGATAGCGATATCAACCATAGAGATTATAGATAATACTAGAGGTGGCATCGAGGGTGAAATTTGGGAGCGCGGTAATGGGGGGCAAATTGAAATCCCGGATAAACACCACACAATTCTTGGGTTACACTTGAAACCAGAAAAGTTTAAAACAAGAGTCACAAAACTGGGTGTTTTATATGTTTTGCATGTCATTACTACATACATCCCCCCCCCCCCCCCTTTTTGAATTCAAACGATTAATTCCTCTTGAAAAGATCCAAATTGCTGACATCAGCATTAT